AGGCTTCAGGGCTCTTCACTGTGGTCCTGAGGCCAAGGCTCTCTGTGTGACTGCTTACCCCACACTTGACGCTCAACAGTCTCAACAAAAGGAAAAGGCCAGACAAAGACTCAAGAATTGTCTGGTACAATGTAAAAGTTTCTTTTAAATCATTTCTTGGCCAAGCACAGTGGCTCACACCTGTAATCACAATACTTTGGGAGGCTGAGGTGGGTGGATCACTTGAGGTCAGGAGTTCAGTCAGCCTGGGCAACACGGTAAAACCCATCTCTACTAAAATTACAAAAATTAGCTGGGTGTGGTGGCACACCTGTAATCCCAGTTACCAGGGAGTCTGAGGCAGGAGGATCATTTGAACCTCAGAGGCAGAGATTGCAGTAAGCGGAGATCACACCACTGCACTCCAGCCTGGGCAAGAGTGAGACTCTGTCTCAAAACAACAACAGCAACAAAATACCATTTATTTAAAATGATAAGAGGACAGATTTATCAATGGATGCTGCCATGACAACAGATGATCTGTATGGAGAAAATAAATTAGATCCTTATCTTACACCATACACAAAAATAAATTATAGCTAGATTGGACTTAAATGTAAAAAATTAAGCTAAAGAATAGAAGGGGCCAGGCGTGGTGGCTCACACCTGTAATCCCAGCACTTTGGGAGCCTGAGGCAAGTGGATTGCTTGAGCCCAGGCGTTCAAGACCAGCCTGGGCAACATGGCAAAACCCCATCTCTACCAAAAAACAGAAAAATTAACCAGGCATGGTGGGGTACACCAGTAGTCCCAACTACTTGGGAGGCTGAAGCAGGAGGATCGATTGAGCTCAGGAGGTCAAGGCTGCAGTGAGCTAAGATTGTGCTGCTGCACTCCAGCCTGAGGTAAGAGCGAGACCCTGTGTCCAAAAAATAAAAACAATTTTTTAAAAAGAATTTACATTAAAAAAAGAATAGAAGGAAGAAAGGTGCATGTATCTCAAGGGCAGAAAGTATTTTCTAATCATAAAGTAAAGAAAAACACATAAAAACATTTTAAAAGAAGTAATTTTGCTGGGTGCAGTGGCTCACAACTGTAATTCCAACACTTTGGGAGGCTGAGGTAGGTGGATTACTTGAGGTCGGGAGTTTGAAACCAGCCTGGCCAACATGGTGAAACCCCATCTCTACTAAAAATACAAAATTTGCTGGGTGTGGTGGCATGTGCCTATAATCCCAGCTACTTGGGAAGCTGAGGTAGGAGAATTGCTTGAATTTGGGAGGCAGAGGTTGCAGTGAGCTAAGATCACACCATTGCACTCCAGCCTGGGTGACTAGAGTGAAACTCCATCTCAAAGAAAAAAAAAAGTAATTTTAAGCTCATAAAATATTTAATTTCTTTATGCCAAAAATTATAATCAAAATAAAAGCAGTTGACAAACTGGAAAAATGTTTTCTATGTATGTCAGAGGAAAGTTAGTACCCTTTTTCAGATTTGTACAGGGATAAGAAAAAATTAAAGACTCAATAGAAAAAAATAGAAAAGTAATAATAATAGCTAATACTCACAGAGCACTTAACAATGTGCCAAGCACTGAGTTAAGTGCTCGAAATATATGATGGTGTGTGAACCCCACAACCCTGTGAGGTGGGTATATGATTATCTCCAATTCCTAGATGGGAAACTGAGGCTTAGGGTAAGTTACTCACAAAAAATTGTGTCACTGTTAAATGACAGCGCTGGAGCCTTCCTGACTCCAAGGCCTGTTCTCTTAACTACACTGTGCTTCAAATAAAAAATAAGAGTGATAAGTGGTCGCTATTTTTTTTCTATATATAATGAATGTACATTTATATTTTGTACATATATGAGTTAAAATTTACTAGAATCAAAGGCCATTATAATTTTTCCTATCAAATTGACAAGGGAAAGAGAGAACATTTGGTGGGGGATGCGGTGTTCATTCTCTCGGTCTCCTCCTGTATCTGGCCACCTCTTTACACCACTTTCCCTGCAGGCTCCCATCTTCATCCCTTCCCTGGTCTCCCTGTGCCTAGAGATGGTAAGCACCCAGCTGCTGCTAGCCACAGATCCTTTGGTGGTTCACCCGTATCCAGCCCATACCTTCATAAATCTGCTGCTTTATAAACAAATTCTCCTTAGATTGTCTTAATTTGATTGTGTCTTCTGTTTCTGTGTGGGATGCTGACTGATACATCTTTTTTTTTTTTTTTTCTGAGATGGAGTCTTGCTCTGTCCCGCAGGCTGGAGTGCAGTGGTGCAATCTCAGCTCACTGCAACCTCCGCCTCCCAGGTTCAAGCAATCCTCCTGCCTCAGCCTCCTAAGTAGCTAGGATTACAGGCACCTGCCACCACACCTGGCTAATTTTTGTATTTTTAGTAGAGACGGGGTTACACCATGTTAGCCAGGCTGGTCTCAAACTCCGGACCTCATGATCTGCCCACCTCAAACTCCCAAAGTGCTGGGATTACAGGCGTGAGCCACCATGCCCAGCCCTGATACATATTTTGACTTACCAATTTTATTCCAGAAATTAATCCTAAGGAAACAACCAGGAAGGTGTGAAAATGTATAAGGATATTTGTCGCAGCATTAAAACTGAAGACAACCTAAGTATTCAACAGTAGGGAACTAGTTTAATAAATTTGATGACCCACATGATGAAATATTATGTAGTTGTTAAAAATCAGGGCTGGGCACAGTGGCTCACGCCTGTAATCCCAGCAGTTTGGGAGGCTGAGGCGGGCAAATCACCTGAGGTCGGGAGTTCGAGATTAGCCTGACCAACATGGAGAAACCCTGTCTCTACTAAAAAAAATACAAAATTATTCAGGCATGGTGGCACATGCCTATAATCCCAGCTACTCAGGAGGCTGAGGCAGGAGAATCACTTGAATTCAGGAGGCAGAGTTTGCAGTAAGCCAAGATGGCGCCATTGCACTCCAGCCTGGGCAACAAGAGCAAAACTGTCTCAAGAAAAAAAAAAAAAAATCAGGTTACAAGCCGGGCAAAGTGGCCCACAGCTATAATCTGAGCACTTTGGGAGGCCAAGGGAGGAGGATCACTTGAGCCCAGGAGTTCAAGACCAGCCTGGGCAACATAGCAAGACCCCATCACTACAAAAAAATGAAAAAATTAGTCAGGCGTGGTGGCACGTTTTTGGTCCCTGCTACCTATGAGGCTAAGGTGGGAGGATCGCTTGAGCCCAGGAGTTCGAGGTTACAGTGAGCTATGATCGCACCTGAACAATGGCGCAAAACCTCAACTCTAAACATAAATAAATAAATAATAACATGTTGGCCGGGAGAGGTGGCTCGCACCTGTAATCCCAGCACTTTGGGAGGCTGAGGCAGGCAGATCACTTGAGGTCAGGAGTTAGAGACCAGTCTGGCCAACATGGTGAAACCCTGTCTTTACTAAAAATACAAAAATTAGCTGGGTGTGGTGGTGTATGCCTCTAATCCCAGCTACTCGGGAGGCTGAGGCAGGAGAATCACTTGAACTCGGGAGATGAAGGTTGCAGTGAGCCAAGGTCATGCCACTGCACTCCAGCCTGGGTGACAGAGCTAGACTCCATCTCAAAAAAAGTAAAATAAATAAATAATAACATGTTTAAAAATCAGGTTACAAATGGATATTTAACAATGCAGAAATATACTTATGAAATATATTGAGTGAAAACAAAATGTTCTTGCGAATCCTATTTTGAATATAAAAGTGAATGATGTATCCCCAAACTACTAATGGTAATTATCTTTTAATTATCAGGTTATGGGTGGTTTTTATTTTCTTCTCTTTTTTTTGAGACAGATTTTTGTTCTTGTCGCCCAGGCTGGAGTGCAGTGGTGCGATCTCAGCTCACTGCAACCTCCACCTCCCGGGTTCAAGCAATTCTCCTGCCTCTGCCTCCTGAGTAGATGGGATTACAGGTGTCTGCCACCATGCCCAGCTAATTTTTGTATTTTTAGTAGAGACGGGATTTCACCATGTTGGCCAGGCTCATCTCAAACTCCTGACCCCAAGTGATCCACCCGCCTCAGTCTCCCAAAGTGCTGGGATTACAGATGAGAGCCACCACACCCAGCCTTATTTTCTTCTTTGTATTATTTTTGTGCGTTTTAGATTTTCTACAATGTTCATGTGTTCTTTCATAATTGGAAAAAGTATATCCAATAAATATTATCTAATTTAAAAAGAAACATTAAGGTTAAGTTCTGTAGCACCTTGCCCCATGTGCACACACAATAACACCAATTCCTCAGTCCCTGCTGAGAGATGGGCCCCTGCTGGCCCAGGACATTGGTGGAGCGGCTATGGCTGGCAGCGCTGCCTGCAAGCTCCTGCACATCTGCATCAGCGTCAGCTTATGGCGGCGGGCATTCAGCCCGGAGCCCTAGGCCTCAGGCTTGCTTCAGGACCCAAATGTTCACCAGCTGGGCTCTGTAAACCCAAACACCAGCTCTGGTGCATGACTGAGGGAAGGGCAGTTAGAATGCCTCAACTGCTGGTCGGATAGACTCAAGGAAACACAGATCAACTGACCCCGTGGCAATCTTCAACAGAGACAGCATAGAGCAGTAGGGAAAAACAAAACAATGAGCCCCAGGGCTTGGAAAGCCATAGGTCTGAATCATGACTGAGCATCTGAGCCGCTGTTTGACCTCAGGCCAGCTTTTAACCTCTCAGTCTCAGTGTTTTCTTGTCTACAAGGGGGGGTCATATTACTTATCTCTCAGGTTATAAGCATCGGATTGAATTAAATGAGCACAGAATAAAGGCTCCCTAAACAGTGGTTAATATTAAAGAGAAAGGGCCTCCTGGGCCTGTGAGACACTCAGGGTCCCAGAGCCTTAGCTCTGATGTGCAGGTAAACAGCAGCAGCATGGTAAAAACTGTAGGGAGAGAGAAGAGATGGTTCTGGCAAGGAAATGGTCACCTGGTGTTTTGCCTAGACACTTGGCTGGCACTCAACACATGCTCTGTCGGTAAGAAGAGCTACCTGCAGTGGGTCCCAGGTCCAGACTTGAGTCATTCAGCTCTTCCTCCTCTTCCCAGAAGTACTGTGGTGGCTGCAGAATCCGAGACTCTTCACTCTCTTCGCTGGGGAAGCCTGAGCCAGGGGCTCCCAGCCCAGCTCCCAGGCCCATAGTCTCACTAGGCTCCTCTGAGTCCAGTGGCTCCAAGCCAGTGGGCAGCAGGAGGTCTAGCAGGGAGGTGGAGGTGAGGCCCTCTGGGCCAGGCTCATCAGACCCAGCCGCACAGGCACCCAGGAACGCTCCTGTGCAGACATAAAAGCCAGACAGTCAGAGGAGGCAAGAGAAGACAAAGACTGGTGCCAGGTTAGAGCATGTCTCAAATGACAAAGGTCCTGGGGAGGGGGGGACTTCAGTGGACACTCCTGAACACCCAGAGGCTTTGCGGGGATTCCGAGACGCTGTTTTCATTTCAAAAAGGCCAAATTGCTTAGACTTCCCTATGGCAGGGGCAAGGGGAGACAGATGGAGACAGGCAGGGGAGAGAGAGGAATCACTGAGTCAGCGTTCCACTGCGCATGTGCTCACTCAGAAAGCGCCTCCTGAGTACCCCCTCTCTGCTGGCAATTGTGCTGCATGTTTGGGGCTACAAACAGAAGTGAAGACAGGGCCCATGCTTTTAAGGACCTAGCTGTATGATTGGATGAACATGGTGTTCCCCAGGCTTCCATCCTTGGCTGAAATTTCTCCAAAACTGAATTAAGAATATGATTTGTATTTCAGCAATACAGTATCCTGAATATAGTCTTTAGTTTTTTTATTTTTTATTTTTTTTGAGATGGACTCTTGCTCTGTTGCCCAGGCTGGAGTACAGTGGTACAATCTCGGCTCACTGCAATCTCCGCCTCCCAGGTTCAAGTGATTCTCTTGCCTCAGCCCCCCGAGCAGCTGGGATTACAGGTGCCCACCACCACGCCCAGCTAATTTTTGTATTTTTAGTACAGACAGGGTTTCGCCATGTTGGTCAGGCTGGTTTTGAACTCCTGACCTCAAGTGATCTGCCCTCCTCAGCCTCCCAAAGTGCTGGCATTACAGGCATGCGCCACTGAGCTCAGCCTCTAAACGTAGTCTTTTAAAAAACCACATGAGGTCACACAGTTCAAACCCAACCCAGTGCTGGTAATTTGATGTATTTGTTTAGAATCTTGGATTCTCTCTCTCCTAATTTACCAAAACAAGCAAATAAATGGACAGGAAAACAAATTAAAGGAGGCCTTCTTTCTCTTCTTTCACTCTCATTCTTTAAGGACAGGAATATAGCCCTATTTGCCAGTTTCACAACTTAACCTCTAACTTAATGACCTAACCACACAAATTACTAACTTGCTGTGAGGCTCCTGGAAAGCTGCTCAAGACCTCTGGGTCTCAGTCTCCTCACCAGAAAGGCAAGGAAGCTAAATGAAATGACATCTGAATTATTTTCTAAGACTAACATTTAAGGATCTAGGGAACAGGGAATTTCACAGTCTTCCTCTTGCTCTACACCAGATGCCTACTGTGACCTGACTTGACTGTAGTGCATGGCAATTTTTGGTGATGTTTATAATAAAAATAGGGCTAATATTATTGGTGCCATGTGCTTTGCTGAGCAGGCCCTAAGCTTGATATGTGCCAATACTGTGACTGGCCACTGAAAAAAATGAGTGTTTCAGACTGTCCTGTGAGTCTGGGTATGAGGGAGTCTGTGCACACCGTGCACCAGCCAGACAACTCACAGCCAAGAACGCCACATCCAGCCATAGGGGTGTATTCTGGGTTGTGTGGATGGCGGACAGGGAGTAGAGACTCCAGGGGAAGATAGACAGGCCCTGAGGTCAGAGACAGGAAGATATTCTATAACAGGAGAGAAAGGCTGGTACCAGGAAATAGGTTACATTCTGGTTTCTCTGGCTGAGCAACTTCATCACCACCAGCCTTGCTCTACTCTTCTGTGTAATAAGGACAGCACTTCCTACCATGCCTCCAGTGTGAGGGGCACCAAATGAGGTAATTCCTGAGCCATGTGTGAAAGCTGCTCTACAAAGAGCTTCACAAACCAAAGTATTCTACAAATATTGTGTTATTATCCTTTATAAAAAACAGAGACCTGTGAAGTTCATGGCCTGGGGAAAAAAAATTTTAAAAGACACCATGGTATCTTCAAATACATTAAAAGGTTGATGTGAATAAGAAGATCAGAGTGATTCTATGTGGCCTCAAAGCCAACGCTGGGGCTAAGGAGGCATCAGAGCCTTAGCATCTGACCAGGGCTAGTAACATCTGTGCCAGCCTTTAAGATCCCGTGAAGCTCTGTCTCTCAATAAAATAATTCACACGTCCAACTCTGAGCTTTAGAAAGTACCATCATAACTAGAGGGTGGGGCTGGGTGCAGTGGCTCACACCTATAAATCCCAGCAGTTTGGGAGGCCAAGGCGGGAGGATCACTTGAGGTCAGGAGGTTGAGACAAGCCTGGCCAATATGGCAAAACCCATCTCTTCTAAAACACAAAAACTAGCTGGGCGTAGTGGCACACGCATATAGTCTCCAGCTACTCAGGAGGCTAAGGCAGGAGAATCGCTTGAACCCCGAAGGCACAGGTTGCAGTGAACCAAGATGGTGCCATTGCACTCCAGCCTGGGCGACAGAGCAAGACTCTGTCAAAAAAAATAAAAATAAAAATGAAAAAATAACTAAAGGGCGGGCATGCTGTGACCCTGGGCAGGTGGGAGCCAATGGCACTGCTGTGTTGCCAATGCTTCTGAGGACTGCTCACAGGAGAATGCCTTCTGCCAAGTCCAAACCAAGAAGCCATCACACCCCATCCAGAATGTCTTCTGTTCGCCTCGGCACCATGTCCATGGTCAAAGATTCTGCTTCCAGGTAGGCCCTGGCTCCATGAAGCTGAAGCCATGTTCCCGGAGCCTGTGTCTGACACCCTGACTCAAACAGAGAAACAACCATCTCATATTTTGTGGTTTCTTTGAGCCAAAGGCATTTAAAAGCCAGAGAAAGCCAAGACAATCAATTTTGGGTCCACTCCCCTTGAAGTTCCCCTTTGTTCCTGGGAGAGGATGAATTAAGAATATTGGATTCCCTCTAGCCCAGACTTTCCCATGACCTCTTCCACTCTAATTTCCTCTTTCCATCATAGGGGGACCCTAAGCTACTCTTGGATTTTTTCCTAGCCCAAATATTACAGAAGAAAGCAGTATCTATCCCCTACTAGATAGATGGGAAAAAGACAGTGTGCCAAGTCCTACCACAAAACAGTACCTTCTTAAGGTTCTTCCTGAGAGGGGTTATCCAATGATGTCCCAATTAATAACCTACAATAACACACATCTTTGCAATGAGACTTTGTAGCTCCTCCCATCAAGAGATGAAATCTAATTCTCCACTCCTTGAATCTGAGCTACCTTTGTGAGTTACTACACAAGACAAGGCAGGAGAAAAGATGATGTGCCATTTCCAAGGCTAGGCCTCAAGATACCTTGAATGCTTCCATTCTCTCAGGATTTTCCTCAAGGCTATCCTTCAGGAAAATGGGAGCCCATGCAGAAGACAGCCAGGTCAGCTCAGTGTCCTAGCTGAAGTCCCAAAGTGAGAGAGCCAGACAAGACCGGCAAAGGTGATAAACAGTTGATGACAAACTTGAAGGAGTTCAGCTGAGACCAGAACCACCCAGCTGACTGCAGCCTAAATTGCCAAACTACAGAATCATGAGCTAAATAAATGGCTACTGTTTAAATCCAAAGCTTTCAAACGAACCAGCATGGAATCACCATGAGGGCTTGTTAAAACAGAGACTGTTAAGCCCACCCTAGAGTTCTGAATCCAGTTGGTCTGTGATGGGGCCCAACAATTTGCATTTCGAGCAAGTTCTCAGGTGATGCTTCTGGTCCAGGGATCAGATCTCGAGAATTGAGAATCTGAAACCACTAAATTTTGGGGTGATTTATTACACAGAAATAGCCAACTGATACATTAAGAAAAATTATAAACCGAGTTCTCCTTTTGGATCAGAGTAGTGTTTAAATGGTTAAATTCCATTCATTCATTCATCCATTCATTCATTCATTCTTCAACCGAAAAGCCTTTATTAAATGCTTTTTTGGACTAGGCATGATCCAAGGCTATGTTGGTACAGAAATAAGAAAGATATAGTCCGTGCCCCCAGAAGGGTCAGTTTCTACTACAGAGACCAGCAAGAAAACAAATCATTATGCAATAGTGTAACAGTGACCATATAACTCTGTTTGAGCCACAGGGTTAGTAGGGCAGGGAGAGAGATCTCAAAGTTAGCTACTAACAGAGCTGCTCATGGCACTGTACTGACTGTGCTCAGTACACTGTGAAGGAGAAAGGAGGCTGGAGGAAATAACAGCACCGGGAGCTCAGGAACATGTGTTCAGTTTCCCATTCTCTAGGGTAGACAACCATGCCACTCAGGGGGGCACACAGCTGAAATGCCCCACACTTTACGATAAAGAAAATAGCAGGGAAGATATAGAAACATAAGTGTGTAGACATGAGAGACGCCTCCATTAGAATTACAGTCCTCATAGTGCTTCACCGCTGGAAGAAAAAGAGAGCTCTTTTACAAACCCCTAGCATTTCCCCCTGCACCCATCTGTCCCGCACACTGCCCTCTAATCAGCACTGCTCAGACTGAAATGTGTGTGAGTCACCCGAGTCTGCTGACACAGTAGGTGTGAGTGATACTGCTGGTCCCTGGATCACACTTTGAGTGGCAACGCTCAGAGAGGTCTTTTTATTGATTTTATTTTTTCATTTTTATTTATTTTTGAGTTTCACTCTTGTTGCCCAGGCTGGAGCGCAATGGCGCATTCTTGGCTCACTGCAACCTCCGCCTCTTGGGTTCAAGTGATTCTCCTGCCTCAGCCTCCTGAGTAGCTGGGATTATAGGCGCCTGCCACCACACCCAGCTTATTTTTTTGTGTGTATTTTTAGTAGAGACTTAGTTTCACCATGTTGGCCAGGCTGGTCTCGAACTCCTGACCTCAGGTGATCTGTCCACCTCGGCCTCCCAAAGTGCTGGGATTACAGGTGTGAGTCACTGTGCCTGGTCAACTTTTTTTTTTTTTTTTTGGAGATGGAGTTTCTCTCTTGTTGCCCAGGCTGGAGTGCAATGGCGCGATCTCAGCTCACTGCAACTTTCACCTCCCGAGTTCAAGCAATTCTCCTGTCTCAGCCTCCGGAGTAGCTGGGATTACAGGCATGTGCCACCACGCCTGGCTAATTTTGTATTTTTAGTAGAGACAGGGTGTCACCATGTTGGCCAGGCTGGTTTCAAACTCCTGACGTCAAGTAATCCGCCCACCTTGGCCTCCCAGAATGCTGGGATTATAGGCGTGAGCCACCACACCCGGCCAAGAGGTCTTTTTAAAATGCAAATCTGGTTCTATCATTCTATCATACAGGTCAGATCCTTTGAAAAGGCAGAGAAGGCTCTCATAAACTGACCATTACCTCCTCTCCCCTCTCTGTCCCCACCTTCCCCAATCATACTCTATGCTTCAGACAAACTGACTACCTGCAATTTCCAGAACACAGCCGTCTCTTTTGCCTTCTGGGTCTTTGCACATGCTCTTCTGCTTGAACATCCATATCTCCCTATCTCTGTTCTGTCCCACCACCCACCTGCTAATTCTCACTCCTGCCTCCAGTCTCAGCTTCCAAGAAGCTTTTTGTGGCCACTCCAAGTCTGCATGAGGCACCACTCCTCTCTATCACAGCCTTCTCAACAAACTACTCTCACTCCACTTTTCTCACCAAATTGTAACGACCTTCACAGAGCCTCCACTGTAAATGAGAAGTCCCTTGGTCAATTCCACTCTGGAATTCCAGTGCCTAGCACAACCTTTTACACACACTGGGGACTCAGTAAAGGTATGAATAAATAATTAGTAGTCTAGTCCAACTTTCTTGTTTTACAAATGAAATAACTGAGGCCTTGTGGGATTAAGGTCAAACAGCTAGTTAATAGAGGAGCTGAAATTAGCTGGTTTCTCCCCCACAAAAAGGTCTTGCGGATGCTCCAGGAGGAAGAATGGAAAGCTATTACTTGTGGGGCTGGGTACCTTCCTTCCTCCAAAGGATACAAGAAAGAAGATAATATGTAAGACAGCTTAAATATTTCATGCGCTTTAAGGGCCAGGGAAAGAAGCCAGAGCTGAAAACTAGAAGATACCCCTTTCCAAACACTGCCCAGGGTCCCCACAACCAATCCAATCAATTGAAGGAACCTCTTCTCTTGAAAAAGACCAAATTAGTAAAGTGACTCCCAATGTTTTCAGCAGCAAGAATCTCTTTATTTACATTTCCATGTGGCTCCTGTGTTTGGAAATTTTTCATCTATAAACTGTACTTATTTAATAGTTATTTTCTAATTTTTGAAAAGTGAATCAGAATCATGTAATATTGCCAATCAGATGTGATACCAATTACAATTGAACTTTGGTTTCAGGTGGGCTGTGCTCTTATTAGAGGTAAAATTTCTATTAGACTGTCGATTACAAAGAAAAATATAGTCACTCCTGAGCTCCTATTCTGTGCCAAACAGTATGTTAGGCCCTTCCTGGGGGTGCAACAAGAGACAGATGAACAAGAGACAGGCTTTGCCCTCAGGAAAATTACCAACTCTTGGGAAGTGAAATCCTAAGTTATTTAGGGGATGTCAGCCGATGCAACAGACTGCTTTGCAAAAGCAGTATCCCCAGGGCTGGCAGGGAGCCAAAATACAAGAAACAGATCTGGAAAAACTCATTTATGCATTCCAGGAAGAAAAAAGTCAACTGATGGAAAACGTTTATAACAATTAAATAATATGCACTGTATAGGTTCCCAGGGCACCCGGGCAGCCTGCCTTTGAGAGGGCCATGAACTGGAGATCTTTATCTGCATGCTCCAACCTCCAGCAGGTATGCTGGGAAAGATATTACTTCAGCCTTGTTAGAAAAGGGTAAACTGATTCTCCCTAAGAATTTTGAAATTCACTCTCTACAACCACTGAAGGATTAAACACGGGTTGTCTCTCAAACCTTGGCACTCTCTCTCAGAGCTGAACTGTGGCATGGCAGGGAGAGGCTGTGGCATGGCAGGGGGAGGCTGCTGCCGTCTACACCCTACTCTGGCTCCTCGGAGTGGCTTGGAACTCAAGAAGACTGCTCTGCCCTCTCCAGGTCAGTGTGCCCAGAGGAGCCTGTTTCCTTCCCCACTCTAGGGGATAAAACTTTCTAGTCAGTCCAGCTCTCTGTGCACAGGACTGTGGTCTGGTGTGTTTGCCAGGCCTCTTCCCTGTCATTTCCATGGCTCCAGTGAGCCCCCACCTCTCTAGGCTCTCTCAGCTGTCAAGCCAGGAACCCACAACCTTCCTCTAACATCTCTCCCTTTCCTTCTTTGTCCTCCCTTACCATTGGTCTGATAGGAATTGGCAAAGATTTTGAAAACCCTACTGAAGAAAAAGGAATCTGGTATTTTCTGGTTTTTCATTCCTTTTCCAGTAAAAAGTTTCATTTTCTTAAAGTTATTTTTCCCTCTAATAACTGTTTTGTCTTTATATAGACCTTGATATTTTCAAAGGCCTTGGCAATGGGTATTTAAGTAATTACAAGAGGTTACTTCTTTTCAAATTTGCCCACCATAAGATGACACCAAAATAGTAGCTGAGACCCAGCCATTCTGTGTATAATTAGTTTTGCACTTAATAATTAATCTACCTTAATTGAGACCCCACCTGACTTAAAATTTCAGAATTACACTCTGCGTGTGATTGATTTCCTTTTTCCCTCAGCACTTATAATTTTCTGTTACATCATCACACCCAACAGAGGAGAGAGAAAAAGACGGCACATGAAAAGGATTAGGGGATCAGCCTCAAAGAACTGAAAA